TGCCATGCCATGTGGTCACCTCCGAGGCAGGTGGGAATCGAACTCATGCCTAAGTGTCTTTAGTTTCTCAGTGTTGTGCTTTAACCCGCTGCACGACCAGGGAGGGCCTGGCTTTTTGACCGATTTTTGAAATTGCATTTTCTTTTTGTTGAGTTTTAAGAATTCTTTATATGTTTTGGATGACCAGCCTTTGTCAGAGGTGTCCTTTACCGTTATTTCCCCCAGTCTGTCACTTTTCTTATTCTCTTGATGTCTTCCCCAGAGCAGTTTTTAATTTTAATAAAATTCAGTATATCGATTATTTCTTTCATGAGTTATGCTTTGGTATTGTACCTAAATAATCTTTGCTCTAACCAACGTCATCTAGGCTTTCTCTCTGTTATCTTCTAGGAGTGTCATAGTTTTGTATTTTACATTTAAATCTAGAGTCTATGGTCCATTTTGAGCTCATTTTTGGTGATGAGTGTCTATCTTTATTGTCCGACAACTGGATGTCCTATAATTCCAGTTTTATTTGCCATTGTCTCATTGTATTGTCTTTGCTTTTTTGACTAGATTTTAAAAAAATATTTATTTACTTATGCACATAGAACTGGGGTACAGGCCAGAGATGCAGGGGTGGCGAGGGGATTCACTAGAAACAGAGTGGGAGCAAAACAAGCATATCGACAAAGTACACTGTTGAGGGGAGCAGCGGGCGAGACAGAAGAGGTCTGCTGTGCCATGTGTGTCACCTCCGGGGCAGGGATTGAACTTGCAGAAGCAGTCACACTTGGCTTAGTTTCGCAGTGCAGCACTCCAACCTGCTGCGCCACCAGGGAGGGCCCTTGACTAGATTTTTGAGGGTCTCTTTCTGGATTCTGTTCTGTTTCCTTGACCTGTTTGCCTACACTATCAGATTTTAGTTGCCTACACTTTTACACATTCTTTGCTTAATTCTCACCTTTGACATTCCCAGGGGCTTCCCTCCCGGAGTATCTGCTTTCAAGCCAGTGCCATCACCTGGCTCCTGCTCACTGCTCCCCATTGAGCATTCCAGCCTCACCAGCTCTTCCAGAAACTGCATGCTCTTCCCTGTGTCCACACCCCTCAGCCTATGATTATTAGTGCCTGGACCATTGCCCTGTTCTCACTTTCTGCTTCTTTGAGACCACTCATCCTTCAGATTATTTCCTAAGACCTCAGTCTTGCTTATCTGTTCTATGCCAGAGTACCTTGTGCTTAATCTTCATAACGAAACTTAGGAGGGAAGGAACTCAGTCTGTTCTTTATATTTTATTTCCAAATTCCAACATGGGTCTGCGTGGATGGCTTGGATGCTTTACTTTTCCACGCTCACATGTATGGTCACGGCATCAATTTCCCATTGTGGACGGACTGGGACAGTGTCCAATACTGTTTGCTTTTGTTCACAGGCAACTTTAGGGTTTTCTATCTATATGACTTATAGTTTGAATAAGTGGCTTAGCTCCTTATTTTAATTCTTAAAGCATCAAGACCCAGGACCAATTTTTGAGCTACCTTTCTTGGTCCTGAACAGAGAGTCGTGCTGTCTGCACTGCCTGTTCCTGCCTGTTCCCGGAGGCCTCCAGGTACTCTTAAGTACGGGCTGGGTTGCATTTACTATACTGAAACATGGGTGCCTGTGTGTGCTCTTAAGTGAAACATTTGTCTTACGGCAATGTGTGAGCCTGGAATTTTTTACACGTCTTACTTATACCTGTTTGTTTTCTTTTAAGTTCATATAATATCCCTGCTAGCTCCAGTGGGAATGCTTGCAACTTAAAATGCTTCTTTCCTAGGGATCATTTTAGAATTTTAATTTGTGAATTTTTCATCGGTGATTAGCCATTACCATGTAAATCACCTTGCAATTTGTCAAGCATGATGAATAGGCTCCGATTTTAAACATCTTAAACTGGTTGGTAATTCAGGATGCATTTTTCTCTGATTGTGTTTCATTTGATACCTTTTTTTTTTTTAGATATAAATTGGATTATTCTTAGTGTTAGTGGCTCTCTCAACATGGGAGGAAAGAATTTTTGTCTTGGCTGAGTACCCATAATCTTTTATGTGGTATTTGTCACGTACCCCTAAACTTGTAGTGTTTGTGGACACCAGCGTCAATGTCTTAGAGGGACCCTGGACTTAATGAATGAGGGGTGACTGAGCCTTGTCACCTTGGGGCCTCCTTCTGGGCACTCCTGTGCCACGCTGGGTCAGGCGGCCCATAAGGAAACAGAGGCCGGTGTGGGGCATTGTGCGCTGCTTGTTTAACCGCTGACGTCAGCGGCGAGGCTCCGGGAGGCTGGTAATTCCTGGACTCTAGGTGCAGAACAAAAACTTGTGTTGGCACCAAGTCCGCTGAGCTAAAATAATCCACAGATGTTCTGCTGCCTGTTACAGGGAACAATTTTAAATCCTGTAAGAGGGACGGGCATGATCTCTTGTTATGATAAAGTATTATTTTTTTTTTTTTGTCTTGTTTTTTCTGTTACGTGTGCAAATTGCCAAGTGCGTTATGTTGAGCAGCAGTCTTAGGGCGTAATCCATAGGGTTCTCAAGTTTCACAGATACGGACCCAACAGACACCTGGCCAGAGCCAGTAGGGTGGGTTGAGGGGAGTGTGCCCTGAATAGCTTTCGCTGAAGCAAATTTTAATTTATCTTATTTTAATCTTAGTCATGCCTTCATTCTTCAGAGTTGTTTTGTTTGTTTATTTTTATTATGTGAACAGGCCTTGTATAAATAATTCATGTCCTCCTTTGAAATAATTTTAAAGAGATTTCCTGTTGTGTTAAATTTTCTTTAAATGAAACAAAAGCTTGGAAGCCCTCACATACAGTTCAGGATGTACTTTGGCCCAACGAGCTGTTTCTTCCTTGGGAAGCTGGGTTCCGAGGTGCTGGACTGAGTTGGGGTTCTGGCTGCTGGCTCCCTCAGTCCCTTCTTGGTTAGTAAGGTATTAATGATAAGAATTCATGTATTGTCCTGGAGATTAAATGAGCCACACATATAAATTATGCACCACTGTATGGGCTGCATGTATAAAGTGCTTAAAAAATGTCTCTTTCAGTGTATATGTGCTTTAGAATCATTTGGTTCCTTGAAACAGAGTGGATGGTGGTGGTAAAGACTTGCTCTGAGCTTAGGAGTTTTATTACTTAGATAATATGGAGCTATCAAGGAAGGCAGTAAGGGAGTAATTTAACCAGGAACAAGATGAGAAAAATAAAAATCACACAAAACTAGAATGCCAACTTTGTAAGCTCCAGCTGACTGTAACAGAGAACTTCCAGGTCTTACTGGCTTTACGGAATACGTACTTAACTCCTGTTCTTGTGTTCAGAGCCCTGTGGCCGGGCAGCCTTCCAGAGCAGTTTGCCTCGCGGTGGTCACGCCGAGACCCAAATACCCTTCACCACGTGGCTTTGCAACATTGGAGCTTGTCAGTTCTGCTATGCAGATGAGGAAAGTGACATAGAAGGAGAGGGATGAGCAAGAGAAGGAAAGGCGGGGTTGGGAGAGACAGAGAGACAGGGAGAGAATATGTGAGTAAGTATGAGTACTGGCCCGGGCACTGCAGAGGCTTGCAGGGGCCAGACATGGAAGTAGCAGCTGTGCCACTTCATCTGACCCACTGGCCAGAAACTGTCCCTCTGCTTCCACCGAGCTGCGGGGTTCTAGACAGCCAGCTCCCCTGCATGCTTGTAGTAAAGGCAGCATAGGGGCAGCCAAGGTGGCCTGTGGCACAGCAGTTAACCACAAACTGCTTTTCTGCTAGTGCAGACATTTTCTACAATTAATCTATTCATACACATCACTCAAAACAATTTCTGAAATTCTAGAGAATGCCAGAACCAGCAGAGGACCCAAGAAAACTTAACAATTACTGTTTCTCATTTTAGGATTTCCTAAAAGTCAGGAGATCTACTGAAGCATCTACTTCTGAACATTTTATTGGTGTGCAGTTAGCCCATAGGCAAAGAATCGGGAGATATATCTTAGTGAACATGCCTGACAGGCAAGTTTCTCTTAATTAGAAAATTCTTCATGATTTATATCCTGCTGGTGGCCAGTAAATGACAACAGTCAGAGAAGTGAATGATCCTATTGTGCACTGAAATGATAATGCATAGTCTAAGGGTCAAGACTTTTATTACTCTTTTACAAATATGACTCAGTAATTCAACTAGTGTTATTCTTAGTTCTGGTAGGAGGGACGATGGCAGCTTTTTGTGTCTTACATCTAATAAAGTGATGTACTCCTGCAGGTTTATTAATAATATTTTACTTGAGCAACTGTTTTGAATTTTAATTGGCCTGTGTATGTATTGAGTAGTTTATTTATGAAAGTTCATAGCTATACAGGACACACTGGGGGCCATGCTGAATTAAGTTTCTGGATTAACATACACTTCACATTTGCAGCGTTTCATACTGCTGCGGATTGATTTTGAGTCCTTCTTCATTCTGAGAAGGTTCAGAAGCGTGCACAGTGGGAAGCTCTGTGCTGTCAGCTGGGACATGTGTTCTCAGCATCGGCTGGCTGAATCTACTCCCTTCTCTGCCATTCAGCCACTCTTTGACTTGGGCAGTGTACCTGTTTGCTACCACTGTCCAAATGTTTGTATGCATTTCTGTTGCTCTAAGAGATCCCCATGCTCTAATATTATTACTTCATCAAATTGTTTATCTCAAAAAAATCACATGTACATCCTAAATACACACAATATTTATTTGCCAACCATATGGCAATAACATCAGAAAACATATAAACTTGCCATTCCATTGTAAAAATGATTATGGAGACTCATGCAGCAGCATCTCTAGGTCCAGACCATGCTGTTGTTGCTGCTTTTTTCTTCCTTGTGTCTTTTTTATGTGGCTCTTTCCTAGAGAGAGAAAATTTGAAAATTTGTCTTTGTATTTTTCACTTGGTTAGGTTGAACTTCATCTTCGTTTTTAAATATATATGTATATATTTGTATTTTTTGCAGAAAAGAGCAAGTTAGTACCTTGTATCAAAACATCAACCTTGTGGAGCCAAGACTAACCCAGCCATATGAACATGTTATCAAGAACTTTATCCGTGAGATCAAACTACAGAGTACAGAGATGGAAAGCCTGGCCATTGCAGTGAAGAGGTACTGAGGCCCTTCCTCTCTGGGTGGCACATAGGATCCTTTCACGGGCCCCACCACCCAGGCGGCACAATGTACCCAGGTGCATTGTCACATTATGATGTCGGAGGACTTCCTGAACCTCAGGAATCTCGAACCTCTAAGATTGTGTCAAACACAGCTTCACAGAGCTGGCCACCAACCCTCAGTAGGTCATTGTCATCCTGTCAGAAATTCTTCAAGGCAACTGATTTCATACTGGACAGTTCAAAGAGATTTGTTATCTTATATCCAACCACTTGAAGCAAACAGGAAGCTTTTCATAGAGGCAGGCATACTTCATTTGAGGCCGCCTTGTTGCTGTGACTTTGGGCAGGTTACTTTATCTTCCTGAGTCTCAGTGTCTGCATCTGACCGGCGAAGTTGTAGATCCTTATGTCTTCAGGGTGCTGAGACTCAATAGGTGCTCATGGCCTCCACATGATGGGTATCAGCAGTGTCTCTTTCCCACTCTATAGTCCTCCTCACCCAGACTGCATTGAACACCTAATAGCTGCTAAACTGTACTATCAAAAGAGAGTTAATGTGAGCCATAGCTGGCTTACACAGGACTTCTTACTGGTTTTAATAGCAATTCAGTGCAATTTTTTTTTATTCCAATTCTTGTACCCCGGAAGCACCACACTCCTTGACATGCATCAGAAAAGAGTGAATTTTATTTGCCACAGCTCCTGGTGTTCCAATGCCATGAGTGCCATCACAGACCCCAGTCCACACACCTGCTGGCCTCTGCCCAGAACTTATAAACAGCCCATAACATAGCAGGCCCTCTCTCTGCGCTGGAATGCTCCTCTGAATCTTTATTATTTCTCTCAATATGATGATGCTTTCTGGATATGTGACCTAGTTGTTTGCAGTCACAACAGTCACTAAAAAAATGTTGCTATAGAGATACATAATTCCTAGACATTAAATAGCAGGTATTTATAAACAAACCAGAATTAGCTAACTCTCCAAACTTGATTAACATAACCTTGGCATCTTGTATGGTGAGGAGGAGGTAAGCAAGAACAGTAAATGACTCAGATCTTACCTTCCACCTCCAAATCTTATTTGGAGTTTTATGTAGAAATTAAACTAATACACATATTGGACTGTGAGTGAGAAAGTGAGCTGAAAGCAGTAGGATGGTGTGGCGGAATTCATCAGACAGGATCACCGGAGGCTTCTCTTCAGGTCCTGTTCTCTCTTTTTTATTAATAGCATGCCACTGGTGCAAATGCATTGACTCTGAATCTCATGGCGTCTGCTTCAGGTCAGTAATAAGCCACTTGAGAAGGCTTGAGAAGGCATGATAAAATTTAGGTCATTGAACGTATATGTCTTGAGAGAGAACAAAGAAGTAATTTTTAGGTCTTAATCGAAGTCTCAACCATTGTAAAGTAAGAGATATCTCTTTACTAGATATTTGATAGATAAAACTCCCCCGGAACTCTTCTCAACAAAATTGGTCCATTTCTAAATTTTTGACAAATCAGTATGGTTGGTTTTTATAGAGAGATGATTTATTGATTGTGTTAATAAGAGTAACCGTATCTATATTTTAGAGCTTCATGGGACTGATAAGAAATAATTATTGGGGCTGATAGGAAATAATCATCGAGTTCCCTTTCTTAAATATTAACTATAGCAGATAACTCTTTATGTTTCATATAGTAAAATTTCAAAATTACATCCAACCATCTCTGTGCCGTAGGGTGATTAGGCCCACGGCTGTAACTCTGGAATTTATTGAGAGCCTTCCAGCAATTTGATATCCTTATGTGTTCCTTGCCACTGTCTTGTTTAATGCCACTTAGTCAAATTTTCCTGTTTATTTAATATCTAGTTTTAATGTCTTTTTATACTCAGATGGTCAAATTTACAACCTCATTTTATTATATGGAACGGGGAATATTATTTTTATTTTATTTTATTTATTTATTTATTTATTTTTATTTATTTTTTTTAAAGATTTATTTATTTGTACATACAGAACTGGGGTACAGGCCAGAGGCTCAGGGGCGGTGAGAGGCTTCACCAGAGACAGAGTGGGGAACAGAACAGGCAGATCGACGAAGCACACTGCTGAGGGGAGCAGCGGGCGGGTCAGGAGAGGTCTGCCACGCCATGTGGATCTCCTCCGGGGCAGGCGGGAATCGAACTCATGCGGAAGTGGCTTTAGCTTCTCAGTGCAGTGCTTTAACCCAATGCGCCACCAGGGAGGGCCGGGGAATATTATTTTAAATGGCGTGTTTCTCCTCATCTGTAAAATAGAGGTTTTGAAGTAGACGAAGTGGACGTCACTCTCCACTCCTGTTACATTCTAAGAGTATAATGAACATGTGTGCATCCCCCTGAATTTCAGGGCCCAGGACATGGCAGCCATGCAGCTGAGTGAGCTGGAAGAGGAAATGGATCAGAGGATTCAGGCTGCGGAACACAAGACGCGGAAAGATGTGAGTGTGTGGGGTTAAACCATTTCTTGGCAGATCCTTATGGTATGCCTGTTATGGAGAGACCCTGCGCCACCTGTAGGCACAGAAGCCCGGGCTCCCTCAGGGATTCTCAACAAAGGCACTTTCAGTGGTGTTAACTTTTGTCGTGGGTAGAATAAGGAGGGGAGGAGATACAGCAGGGGAGGAGGGAGCATAGGGGACAGTGGTGGTGGATCACGGGTGGTGGGAGGACTACAGGGACTCACCTGAGGGGAGAAATCAAACCCTGTCAAAAATGAATGGTGTAAGACAATACATATAAAAAAATTAAGAAAGAAAGAAGTACAGATTCATGTGAATAAAGGGATGATTTCAGGTAGCCTCAAGCGCAGTAAAGAAATACATGTGTGCTACACAGTCAGTGGGAGAGGAGTCTGCTTCTGGCTGGACATCAGAGGCCTCTGAAATGCTAGTGTGGGAGATGAGGTGTGAGGAGAAGGCAGACTGGCCACACTGGGGCCCTTGGCTGTGCCTTATCCTGTAGTTAGTTACCGCAATAATCAACAGACCAGTTCATCAGTGAGCCGGGGCCTCTACCACAGTGTAACTCCAGGTGAAGTGAGTATGCAGGAGGGCGCTCCACAGTGCTTTCCCTTCAGCTGGTTTCTTGCAGCCGTGCTGCATAATTATTTGTAATAATAATAATTATATTACTTCCCTACCATTATTTTGTCCCCTCCTTGTGTAATTTGGGACCAGTCTCAATTAGTTTCTTATCTGTTTGTTTTCTGAAGAACTTACATAGATCAACACAATTTTTTTTTTTAAATCTTTTAGGAAAAACGCAAAGCTGAGGAAGCCCTCAGTGATCTCAGACGTCAATATGAAACAGAAGTAGGAGACCTACAGGTGACGATAAAGAAACTCAAAAAGGTTGGTATGCATCAGCTCGACTTTCATGAGTAGCTTCAGCATGTCATTGTATCTAATCATTATCCACTGAAAACATCTGGCATCATATTGAAGCAAACAGATAGGCTCAGTCTGCAGTATCAAACTGGATTCCTTGGAAAGACATTTTTAAGGGCCCTGATTTCCTTCTTTGTATCTAAGGTCAACCTATCTTTTGCATGGATCTAATATATAGGTCAGATCCCTTGAACAGCTGTCTAACAAACCCCAGGGTTTTTTTTTTTCCCTGTCATCAAGTGATAACAGGGGTGACATTGTCTTTTCTGGTCATGTGTCTCTGTATGTCTACCTCTGGCTTACTGAAAGGTAATTGCTAGGTTTCATTGAATAGTATTAAGTGAAATAAATATTCCTCTTCTGCATAGAAAGTTCTAGATTTAGGGACCCTTGATCATCAGGAGATGGAGGAAAAACTCACTGAAGTGTGATAAAATGTGTGTGTTGGAGACCAGCTCCAACTATCGAGGTGTCTGGAGGCAAGACAGGTGGAAAGGCATCGGTGAGCAGAGATTCCTAAAAAAAGGGGAGAAGGAGAAAAAGGGGAAAGGGGAGCGAGGAAGACACGGAAGTCGGAGTTGGGTGCAAGTCTTCCTTCCATCTTTTTGCAGGTCTTTATTTATACTGTTTAGCAAGATTTAGTTACAATAATGCATCAGGTAAGTTAATAAGAAATCACCATAAAAGTTTTAAAGGAAGAGGGGAACAATGCATCCCCTTTCTGCTACTTTATGGCACACTATACTATACGTATATCTTTGTGATAGCTTTCATATATATGGATGTTTAACTATGACTTCAAAGGATAAGGGTCTGGGAAAGGATGAGCTGTTAGCAAAGGATTTAGGAGTCCTAGGGAAGGAATAAATTGTGTTAGCAGAGTTGTCAGTGATAGTCTAAAGAAAAGCTAAAGGCTAACTTAAGGTTAGCAGAGAGTAGCTAGTGTTTGTTTTAGGAAAAGGTTAATTAAGACTAGCAGAGAGTAGTTAGTGATTGTTTTAGGAAAAGAGTAAATTAAAAGGAAGTCACATAGTTATGCATTAAGCAAAACCTGGGTTGATAATGTTAGGAAATTGTCCATGGGTCCTTATGCCCTGGGAGTTATCTAAGATTTGCTTTTTGTCAAAAGACCAAGGAAGCTTTCCAGGAGTCTTGATGCTCTGGGGTCTTATCTCTCCAAGAGCTTGCCTTTTGTCTTCAGTAAAAGGAATTTCCTGCCCAGGAGCAGCTCAGCTTGTACTTTGCCCAGGCCAGGTAGCCAATTTAGAGCTAAGGTAATCCAGTTACAAACTGATGTTGCTACAATATTTTTGATATTATGATTATAAAAAAAAGGGAAGTCATAACATAAGTTAGCAATGGAAATTCTGATTTTTCAGAGCTTTTCCCTATCTACCCAGAATCTGTCAGGCGATAGACATAGCTTGTGTCAGGTGTGATTGGGTTATAGCCTTTATTAACTTTTCACTCACATGTGTTGACTGAACTAACTCTGGATTAAGGAGTCAGGAAAGGGAGGATCTTGCCAATTTTTATGCTATCAATACCTTCTCATTACTGATTTTTTTTTTAAGATTTTATTTTTATTTATTTGTACAGAACTGGGGTACAGGCCAGAGATGTGGAGGGTGAGAAGATTCACCAGAGACAGAGCGGGGATCAGAACAGGCAGATGGAGGAAGTACACTGTTGAGGGGAGCAGCGGGCGGGTCAGGAGAGGTCTG